AAATCTGGGGCTGGGATCCCAGAGCTGGAGACGGGAGTAGTTTCTCTGGAGAAGGTGTTGGTGCTGGTAGGTGGAGCTGACACCTTATCGATGAGGAGGGTGCTGGATTTGACCTCTGCAGCCGGCTCGGGGGGCTGCCCGCTGGCACACGGGGTGCTGGGTTTGGAATCTGACACCGTGCCATTGGGAGGGGGCTGGCTTTCTGAGGGCTGCTGGCTCTGCGGGGCGACAGTGGCCGGGGGGTTCTGGTTGACGTCTGCGTGGTCTGCGTCTGGCAGGCTGTGGTTGCTGTTAGAGGCTGGCGTGATAAGGGTGGCGCTGAGTGAGGAAACGTTTTGGTTGACGTCTACAGCTGGGCTGTGGGCCTCAGCCGCGGGCGGGCTTGGCGGGGTCTGCTGGGCTTCTCGGTTCTGGGACAGGTGCAGTCCATTGGCTGTCAGCAGGGCCGCGTTCTCCTTCAAGTAAACCACCAGCGGCACCTCCTCCTCCTCGCTGGCCACCTTCTCCAGGTGCCGCAGCAAGCTGGCTTTCTCTGAGCACCCCTCCATGCTGTGAGCGGGGACCCCTGTGTCAGGGCTCTGGCGGTCGCTGTTCCTTGGAGGGCCTGGCTCAGGGGGTGAGGTGGGACTCAGGCCGGGCCCCGAGGCGTAGCCCGCAGGGCCGGCAGGGGGCACTCTGAGGGACTCCTGGCTGGGCTTCCGTTCCCGTTCCCGTTCCCTCGGGCCGGGGTTCTCCAAGGTGAACTGGTTCACCCTCTGCCGACGCCTGTTGAAGAGCTGGACGCCTCGGGAGTTGGAGCTGGGCGGGGTGGTCAGCTGTGCCGCGATCTGCTGGCTCCGGGCCTTGGCCTCTTTCAGATCTTTCTCAGTGAGGCTGGTGCTGTGGGCCAACGCTGTTGAGAGGGACAGAGGTCCAGTTAGCAAATGGGAATGCAGAACCACGGGAGCAGAGACAGACAGACAGATGGCCACCATGCCCCTCCTACAGATGCTCTTTTCCTCTGGGATTTGCTCTTTACTCACTAGTCCCTGGAATCCCCTCTCCTCAGAAAGATCCCTGACCCAACAACCATCATGGCCCAACTCAAAGGCCACCTACCTGTGGCAAAACCTCCCCTGACTACCCTTTCAGGGTGAACCGGCCCCTTATTTGGCTTCTCCCTGAAGGTTATTGATACTGTACCTTATTAAATTCTGCAAGAACACCTCACCCTAGCGAGAGGCCACACTACATCCCTGACCCATTCTCTACCACCCTCTCTGCTCACTGGGCTCGGCCCTGCTGGCATTCTTTCAACTCCTTGGAAATGCCAAGGTTGTTCCTGCCCTGGGACCTTTGCACTTGCTCTTTTCCTAGTTTATCATCAGTCTCCCCACCTAGAACATCGGCTCTCAGGGGACTATGTATGACCTTGCTTGACCTGGTCATCATTCTATCCCTGGCCCCTACAATAGTGCCTGGCATAAAGCGGGCACTTGGTAGGTATTACTGAATGCATGAATGAACCCCCAGGACATTTTCTATGTGCCTGTCTTAGGGGCCTTTACACTTTCACGGCATAGTCATTTGCTAACACTAACACTTCCTCTTTTTAGAATAGGTAATACACTCACATGGGCTGAAAACTGAGAAAAACAAAAAAGCGTGCGGTAAAAAAATGTCCCTCCACCCCCGAGCATCCACACCACAAATCAGGTAACCACGGTTACTAGTTTCTTCTTATAGAGTTTCTTCCCATGTTTATCCCCATAATCATTTTAAAGTTCTCATATTTTAATATCATAAAAGTAATACATTGGGCTAATTTCAGCAGCAACCGTACTGGAATGTTGCATTAGTCTATTCTGTCCTCATAAGAACACTAGGAGACCAACATTACTTGCCCCTGTTTTACGGAAGTGGAAAATGAGGTCCAGAGGCTGTGTACGTAACTCACGCACAGTCACACAGCAGAGTGGCCAAGCGAAAGTCAGCACCGGTTCCCTCTGGGCTCACAACCCATGCTCAAGATGCCTACTCGTCCCCAAAGTTCCCTTTGGCACCTTGTAGGGTGCCACTACAGGAGACAGAGTCAGTGGGGGACAGGCTCAGTCTAGGATTGGAGTCTGGGGCCCGAGGTTGGTGATCAGGCTGGGGTCAAACCCTGTTAATCTGTAAGTTCACTGTAGGCAACCATTTCTCTTCCAATCCCCAGAGCCCAGGTGGCACACCGTTGGTGCTCAATTTATGCTTATTGAACAAAGAATGAACAGATGGACCAATGGGAAGATGGATGAGATAGCCTGTGGCCAAGGTTACCAGCTCAGTCAGTGGCTGGGAAAATTCCTCCCTCCGTCATCCTCCCCCAGCCCTCCCTACTGTGGGAAGCTAATTAGTTCTTGAGGAATCTGACCCTGCCCTCCCTCCTACCATGCCCTCATTAGCACTGGCCATGACATGCTGAATGGGTCTCCAGGGACAGTCTTTCTAGGCATCCTGCCAGCGAGGCTCAGAATTCACGGACTCCCAGAGCCGCAGGGGCCCTTCCAGAGGAGCTATTTGACCACCACCCCCATTGTAGAGGTGAGGAAACTGAGGTCCAGAGAGTGACGGCACAGAGTAGAGCTCACACTAGGGTCAACAAAGACGTCCACGTGGAGCAGCACAGCCGAAGAGGTTCTCTGGCCCCAACCTCCTCCTTCCCACCTCCCATCAGGATCTGGCTCCCACCCACACACACCCGTGCCCACCGTTCCAGAACAACCTGCCCCATGTGTCCCTGACGCTTGCCCCCTTCTGGTAGGGCTCCTCTCCTGCCTGGATCACCCCATCCATGAAAGATGAGGGATTTGCAGGTTGGGCCAGGCCGCTGCCGTGGGTGCGGGGGGGTCGTAGGCAGGGGCGAGTCAGCCACGCAGCAGGGCCTTGAGAGGTTTCGTGGCTCACGCAATGTTCGTCTCCTCTGCCCTGCTTAGCAACCAGGACTCCTGGCCCAAGTCCGGGCTCTGCCATTTGTTACTTGTGAGACCTTGGCAAGTTACCACACTTCTCGGAGCCGGCTTCCTTGACTGAGAAGAAGTGATAAGAGCACTGACGTTAGGGCCGGGAGGCTGCGATGAGGTCACGAATGCCAGCACTGCTCGCTGCCATCAGGCCCAGTGGACAGGGCAAGAGGGTTCATGCTCCCTGGGAGAAACTGCTCGTTGGTGACCCTTCTCTACTCCCTGGAGGGGCCAGAGCTTTTTCTAGCAAAGGAGACTCACTCCACAGATCGGGGTCCTGAGAGGGAATGTGACTCTCTCAAGGTCACACAGCAGGGCATTCCAGAGTTATGGAAAGGGAGGGATTATTTCCCAAATCACGGGACCTTGGAATCTCAAAGATGGCGGTCACTAGGCCCAACTGCCCACATAATTCCTGTGTCCCCAAAACCATGCCCCTGAGTTACAAGTCTCTGTTTACATACTCAACCGACAAGGAGCTCACTACCCTAAAGAGGTGCCTTCTACTCATTAGTGCTCCTTACATTAGCTCCCGACCTCTGGACACGGTTCTGTCCCCTACTGCCACAGATTTTTCTTTCTAACCTGACTGTCCTGCAGAGTCACAGATACAAATCATATCCCCCTGGGGTATGGTCAGGATAAACACCTGTGTAGCCCCAACAATGTTTCTTCCGCCACAATGGCTAATGTTGATTCTACAGATTATTTAATTTCCACAACAACGCTATGGAAGCGCGAACTATTATTATCCGCCTTTTAGTGATGAGAAAACCAGGGCTCAGAGAGGGAAAGTGAGTTGCCCAAGGTCACAAAGCCAGAAAGTAGTGGAGCTGGTTCACCCCCCGCTCTGCAAGACTCCAGACAGCACCAGGCTTTCTGGCTAACGGGTTCCCACAGTGTGAGGCTCACGGAAAGTGCTTCATTGTTTGAATAATCCAGACCTCCCAATGTCCCTGCACTTTCCTGTTTTTCTTTTTACTTCTCTGCTTCCATCCTATCCCCAGACTGGTTCTAAAGGCCATGGGTTTAGAAAATGCTCAAACGTGAGAGCACGAAGGGCCCTTGGGGATAAGCTGGCCTGGGAGGCTTCTCGAGAGGCTTCGAGAAGAGTGGGCCTCGGGCCAGGACCTGGTCTGCTGACCCCCGGGCTGGGCTTGGAACCTCCCCCGCCCCGCGCTGCTGTTCTGGGACAAGAGGAGGGCAGCAGAAAAGGCCAAGGGGTGAGGGAGTCCAGCCTCCAAGGAAGCTCCCGTACCCCACCCCCAGCCCGCAGTGACTCCACGGAAAAGGAATCCGGCAGGAGGCTTGGGCAAGACCCTGCCAGCAATCCAGATGATTTCTGCCACCCTGCGCAAACCACGCTGAGGGAAGGGGGCTGGGCCAACCCCAGAGTCCCCCACTTGCAGGGCGCCAGGGAAGGCAGGTCCGTGCAACATTCCCCAGACGCAGGAATTGTTGCCCCCGGCCAAGCCCCGGCCAGCCAGGTGCAAGACGGTGCTCCCTGGTGCTAGAGAAGCAGGAGGTAGCCAAGGGCCAGAGGGGGCAGGTATCTCGCTGAGCCCCCCATCTGCCTGGCTGCAGCCTGTTCCTGTGCCAGCCAAACACCCCCTCTTCTCAGGTTGGGGTGCTGGCCCTTGAAAGACCTACCCTGGACATTGGATCGGGAGCTCTGAAGACAGGCCTTCAGGAGAGGAAGGAGTGAGGGTAGATACAAGGAAGAGCTGCCCGGGGTCAGGAGAACTGGCTCCAACAGGGGTAACTCCCTAAGTGGGTTGGGGGACAAGAAGCCCCAAGTACAGCCGTCAGAATAAGGGCTACAGTGGCTGCTGCGATCAGGCAGCCCTCACTATAGCCCGGGGAGTCGTGCCGCACACTTTACACACATTACCCTATTCAGTTCTCCCCCCAAACTCCGAGAGGTAAGCACTAACATGCTCCCCAATTTGCTGATGAAACTGGAGCTCAGAGAGACCTGTCGAAGGCCATACAACTTGCAAGTAGCAGGGCTCGGATCTTTCCAGCCAAAACTCAAAGTCTGGTTGCAGAGTCTCATTTCTTAACCGTTCCGCCTTTCAGCCCCAGACTTTGGGTCCAGTGCTCTTGGATAATGGTCTGCAGAACCGCCTGTTTCCTCATCTCATGATCGATGTCCCCAGCAGTGCCCTCTCCCCTCTCAGCTGCCTAGAACAACCCATGCATCCTCTCCCTTCTGCCTGTCAGGAGAAGAGCTGAGAAAACTCATTCTTACTAAGGTTGAAATGACTGCTAGGAGATGAAAGTCCAGGGGAGTGGAAACAGCATGGTATTGGGAGTCAGGAGACCTAAGTTCCAGTTGTGCTCAGGCAGGGATAAGCCCTTTCTCCCACCCCTGTCACTTCTATAGGTAGTTGCCTGGTCTGCTGCCCACCAGGCCTGTCTGGACCTAGGATCTGAAGGAAGGAGGTGGGGCAAGGGAAGGGAGGCCAGAGCAGAAGGTCAGGACAGGGAGAGAATTCAAGGAAATGCTTCTTCACACGGCTGCCGTCAATGGGAGTATCCAGGCCCCAAGCAGGGTGGAGTGGGACAGGGAGCCAGAGGTGGGAATAGAGACTGGCTGGAGGCAGCCCATTGTGGACGACCGGGAGTCTTGGCACTGGGACAGGTAAACAGGCTGGGTAAACTGCCCCCCTGCTGGGGTCAGGAAGGAACCAATGGCTGGCTGCACAACCTCTGGCTCAGCTGGGGGCAGGAAGATGAACTGGGCCTGAGTAATGGCCTGACCGCCTTGCCAGCCCCTTCCCCATATCCTCCGGGCTGAAAGGAGGAAATGACACAGCCTCCATTCCCTAGGGAGTTCTCCATCCACGCCAAAGTCCCAGTGAGTGCAACCTGACTGAATTGTGGCAGACTGCCAGCCCTCCTCTCAGGA